CACACCTCTAAACCCCTAAACCCTAAACCCTTAAACCCTAAACCCTCACACCTCTAAACCCCTAAACCCTAAACCCTAAAACCCTAAACCCCTCACACCTCTAAACCCTTAAACCCCCCCCCTGGGCTCCAGGCGCGGGTGCCTTGAAGTTGACTCCCGTGGTAAGGTCCGGGATAGAGTCGGTGCATTGCCTGTGCCAGGAGATCGGGTTCTATGTTGGTATATATGGGGTTTAGGGTTTAAGGGTTAGGGATCCAAGTATACGAATAATATCTATGTCAAGTCTGCGAATTCTGCCTACACTGGGCAACTTGGATCCCCAGGGAAGAGTGGAAAGGTTATGATTTCATATTCCGCATTCTCAGGCAACAAAAGAAAAACGGGAATAGCATTCCAGATCATGACCTTATGTTACTAAATGTGTTCTGATGTGCCTCATATAACATGCTGGTACGTATCTTATTCATGGCTAGGACCTTAGGCTCCAACACACGCCACGCGGTTTAGGGTTTAGTGTTGCGCAGTGATTCAAAAGCATGGTAAGAGGTTCGGGGTTTGCGGAGATGGGCGGGTTAGGATGGGTCCCACATGTTGCAACCCTAGATCCTAAACCCCTCAAACTACACTCTTTTCTTGGGGGGTATGGAGGAATGGATCCCTACAGAAGACCCTATACAATTTCCCAGGGGAGTTAGGGTTTAGGTTTAGTAGTTTGCATATTCGTTTCCATTCCTTTGTTTGACATTTCGACATAGACAACCAGCAAGATAATGGACATCTTGCTGGGTGCACTGGCCAGCATAAGCTCTGGCATTTTCTAAAAAAGGGTTTCCTCCAAGAGGCTCTCCAAACATGAGGCATCATTTTAAACCCTGACAGCTAAACCCTACATACAGTGGATATTAAAAGTTCTGCATGACCCGAGGTACCCTATGCCTTGGGAATTATGGTGCTATAGTATATTAAGGTCATGCAGATTTTTAATATCAACAACATTCCCAGACACCCCCTACATTCCCTCACTTACTCGGGCTTAAGGGAGAGTGGGGGAGTGGATCCCTATAATCATCCCTATAGAATCCCGTGATATACCCCTGTAGTAGTACCTATATTCAAACCCTAAACCCTTAACCCCCAAACCCTTAACCCTGCTCCCCCTTTAGCGCCAGTAGGGTGTAGAGGGACATCTCCCATCAAGCCTTCCCACGTCCGCAAGATCCGCTCGCAACCTGTTTCACTGGTGCTTAAGGGAAAGAGTCTAGGGGCTGAGGACTTTAGCGACAGTTCAGGGCTTTGTTTCAAGGTTTCAGGGACAGTTCATTCAGGCTTGAATTTGAGGGGTGAATGTGTGCATCAGCTCCCCCACTCTAAGTGAAGCAGCCGCAGCCTCCCGTGGATGGAGGGAATCCTAGACCCTAAGCCCTAAACCCTAAACTTTAGGAACTGTAGTAGTCTCAGAGCCTGAATCATGCAAGATGTGGTAATTTCCTTGAATAGGGCGACCCAATACAGGCATTTCCCCCTAATTTTGGGAAGCCCCCATGCAACAATACCTATGCAGTTACGGGTTTGGAATTCAGGATCAGGCCATAGGGCCCAGATGACTTCTTGAGGGTTGTTTAGCGTTTAGGGTATGTTTGAAGTACACAATGATTAGATACCTGAATCCCTTGGGTAGTAGCAATTATCGTGCCGGGTTTAGGGAAGTATCTGATTATTGTATTGGACCCTTAGGGTAAACAATGCTGATACCTGCCCTCTCATATTTCAGACAGGTACGCTGTCGAGGCTCACTTCTTTGGGATTCGAGGCTGGCGCGTTTCCGATACAACTCTGTCTGAAACACCCTCTACCCCCTTTAACATTCCCACAGGCAAGATTAAAGGACATTCAGCCTACATCGAGTATCAGAGGGTGAGGAGCTGTTGGAATTGTTTGACCTCAGGCAACTCTCAGACTTGCTACATCACGTGTTCCCCTACGATTTGATGGAGTTCTTGTTTTTCTCAGGTACACTAACCGAATCTTAAGTGAATCCGTACTTTTCTGCTCTGGCTGATTCCAAGCCCCTAGAAAACACTACAAAGTGAGGGCAGAACATGTATGTCTGGATTTTGTCAATGACGAACACCCTAAACCCTAAATCATATGAGCCAGTGTCTAAACTCCTAGTATCCCCCTGAATAACCGCTAGAGTAGTCCCTATATAATCTCGTATATAACCCCCTTTAAGGAGTTTAGACTATAGCTCATATGCTTCTTAAGAACCGCTCCAAGCCGGCTCAATGAACATCTTCGTAACGCTTAAGTGGTGCCAAAAATGACAGATGTCATGCCTAAGTTCCGATTTTTGGTGGTTTTCCAAAATTAAGGCTACCTTTTTGGCGGTTCCCTAGGGTAAGAAGTATAATGTACTGGGGACCCCTTATTTTGGGACACTACCACTTGGGGCCTGGAGCTGCGGATTTTGGACCCCAAACGCTAAACCCTAAACCCCAAATTTGAAACCCCAAACCCTATACCTTGAACCCTAAACCCTAAACCTTGACCCCTGAACCCTAAACCTTGAACCCTAAACCCTAAACCCTAACCCTGAACCCTAAACCCTGCATCCACAGAGATGGTCCATGGCCTGGATTCGTACGCCATGCCGAGAGTGACCAGGAAGGGAGCTTGCGCCTTGCTGTCAATTTAGGGTTTAAGGTTTAGGGTTTAGGGTTTCACCCTAACATAGTCCTCCTTAAGGGGTTATATAGGTAGAATATTGGGCTTATATAGGGGTTATATTGGGATAAGGGAAAAGACAATGGAAACTACTATTTATATAGGGCTTAGGGCTCAGGGTGTAGGGATCTAGGGGTTTAGGGATTCAGGTTTTAGGGTTTTAGGGTTTAAAGGGTTAGGGGGATTCGGGAATTTAGGGTTTAGGGATTTAGGGTTTAGGGGTTGAGGGATTTAGGGTTTCAGGGTTTAAGGATTTAGGGTCTGGGGCTTAAGCCCTAACCCTGAACTCCTAGAGCCTAAGACCTGTATGAGATTAAGTTGATTTAGCATCCGCAGGCTAAATGCAGAAGCCCATGAGTGTCATTGACATTGGGGCCCTCAGGAACCCAGAGGACACAGACGAACTTTCAAGATTATGTGGGCTATAGTCTGAACTCCTAGTAACAGTATAGGGTTTGGGGTTTAGGGTTTAGTGTTTACGTAGGGTTTCGGGTCTACTCCCAGTATCCCCAGGAATCATGGAGAATCAAATGGAGAAGCAAATGGAGAAGCAAATGGAAAATCACATGAAAACTGGGATGTAAGGGTTGTAGTCCAAACTCCTAGCATCCCCCTTAATAGCCCCTATAAGACTCCCCTATATAATGCCCTATATAACCTCCTTTAAGGAATTTAGACTATAGCTCATGTGGATCTCTATTAGGGGTCCTCCGAAGCTCCCATACAATTAGAATAAGGAGGGTTTAGGGCTTAGGGTTTAGGGTTTGGGCTACGGTCTGCTGTAGCTATAACCCCGTAATTAGCCGGTCTAACCCCCTGAAGCTGTAGGCAATGGGGGTTACTACACATATAAGGGTTGTGACCTCCAGCACATTCGTTTCGAAGCTATCAAGGACATGGTGTTCAGGGTTCTGGGTTTTAGGGATCAGGGTTGTGCCTGAACCCTAAACCCTAAACCCTAAACCTCAAACCCTAAACCCTAAACCCTAAACCCTAACTTAATCCATGCGGTACAGCAAAGAGCAAAGGCCATAACAGCCAACCTGCCATGAGCAAGCAATCCATCCATGGTGTTTTCAACACGCTCAACTCCCTGAACCCTAAAATTCTAACCCGTAAGCCCTACCTGAACTCCAAAAAGTAGGTAAAATAACAGCCCAAAACATTTAAATCTAGCCCATAAAGCCATTATTCTACATATTTTTGGGGGTTCAGGTATGTTACACCTCCTGAGGTTCGCACCTTGGGTGCCAAAGACAGGTCCTGAGCTCGTGGATGTTTTTCTGGCTGGTCTTGCTGCTTGGGAGGGACATCTGACAATCGAATGTCATGGATAACTGGATAGAGCTGCTTTTGTGCCTATAAACCCCGTGGTACCCCTCCTGAGACATATGGAAGGATTTCAATCCCTGGTCCCCCAAACTGGACACTAGCTACATGAGCTCACGAATGATTCGCAAGGAACCCTATGTACACGCATCAAAAACACGGGTATGGAAACCCTACTTGATATCGGCTGCAAGCCATCCTAAACCCTAAACCCTACTCGTCCTTTTTCGGGGTCCTAGCTTTGGGTTCAGGGCTTGTAAGAGTCACCTGGAAGCGTGTAAGTGCTCCACATGGGTGGATATATGTGTATATATATATATGTATATATATATATATATATTTGGGTCTATATACTATAGGAATAATGGAGAAGAACATGGAGACTATTATAATATATTGCGGTGCATGTTGGGATATTGCAGAGGCTATATGAGCTACAGTCAATATTTCCTACCGTATTAGGGACTATATGAGGGCTATGCTAAACTACAACAGGGACCCCTCTCTCCTTTGTTAAGTGTCCCTTGATAAGGCTAATATTGACAGTAGCTTATGTGCATGTATATATATATATATATGTATAGATCCTTGCAGAAAGACCATGACACTCCTCAAAAGAAGGTGCAAAGGAGCCTATAGGTAATGCTCGAGGTTTAGGGGCTGGAGTCTGGAAATCCCTGAATCTAAACCCCTAAACCCAAACCCATATCCCAGAAAACACATCACCCTAAACCCCTAATGCCCTACCCCAAGACCACAAAACCCACCCCAAACCAAAGACTAGCTTGCACTCCCTTTTCCATCACCAACTTCCAAATCCTAGGCACCAAACTTGGGGGCTTAGAGCATCTGAGCAAGTGTACTTGTAGCCGGTATGAGCAACACGCTGACCCCAGCTATTGCTAGTGTCAACCTACACCTACTACTCTGCCTGACAATAAATCCTAAATCCTAAACTCTAAACCAGCAATTTAAACCCTGAACCCTAAATCTTGGGTACTGCCCCCCCTCAGTAACTGTTGGATAATGATTATAATATGGTTATCTATAGCCCTTAATAGGACCCCTAATATAGACTATTACTGGGGGGGGGCAGTACCCAACCTAAATCCTAAATCATTGGGACGCTCCAAGTCTAGGACCCTCCATGACTTAGGACTAAGCAGGTCCCTCCTTTTGGGTATTGATTGGCTGTTATAAAGAACTTAGGACCCCAGAAGGGGAAAACAGGGTTTAAAGTTTAGGGTTTAGGGGAAAAAGGCCCTAAACCCTCAACACCCTAAACCCTAAATCCTAGACCTCAAACCCTAAACCCTCAACACCCCAAACGTATTTCTTCAGCCAGGCCGCATAGCTTCCCTTATCCAGCTCCGCCACGAGTTGCCCGAGTTGGTCGGATCTGGTTTTAGGGCTTAAGGTGCAGGGTTTGGGTCTAGGAGGCTTGGGGTCTAGGATTTGGGGCTTAGGGTTTAGTGTCTGGGTATAATATTTAGGGTTCGGGGTCTTGGATTTAGGATTTAGGATTTGGGGCTTAGGGTTTAGGATTCAGGATTTGGGGCTTAGGGTTTAGAGTTCAGGGTTTGAGGGTTCAGGATCTAGGGTCTAAGGGTTGTAGGGTTTTAGAGTTTCAGGTGTCAGCGCGTAGGACCTCAACTTATTCTTTGGAGGGCCATGGGGGCTTACAACAATTACTAGCAGTTTGAGGGTCTCTTTATACAGGAACATATCCATATATATATATATAATATCATACTTTGGGATCTACCTCGGGATCCCCGTATTCATGGAAACTAACTTATTTACAGGGTCTGGGATTTAGAGGGTGCTTTTAATAGTAATAATACTAATGCTAATAGTTACAGTACCATCCACTCACACCCTAAACCCTAAACCCTAAACCCCAAACCCTAAACCCTAAACCCCAAACCCTAAACCCCTAAACCCCAAACCCTAAACCCTATCTAGTTATAGATTCCTGGTGTGGAGTTGAGAGCTTAGGGTTTGTTCCAGGGTTGGTATTTGAGGGTTTCCCAAAATTAGGGGTACCATTTTGGGGGGGCCCAGTATTAAGGATTATAATATGTTTGGGTCTATATTGGGGTCCCGCTGTTTTGGGAAATTACCATTTGAGGGTTGTATTGGGTACAGCTGGTCACTACGTTGAAGCGCTTTCAGGGTTCAGAGTTTAAGGGGTTGAGGGTTGAGGGGTTTTGGGTTTTGGGGTTTTGGGTTTTAGGGTTTTTACAGTAACCCTAAGCCACAGCTTCATCATCTCGGGTGAGAGTGGTTGTGCCTTCATAATATGCTTCTCAGAGGTATTGCGAGAGAGGGGCCCCTCATTTTAAGAAATCGCTTGGGCCGATAAAATTACATGGGTGTGCACGAGGAGTATGTTTATGGTGTATGTTTCGCAGATACACCACTTCTCCTCCTTTCCTGACATTAGACAGGCCTGAAAACACTGCCTATATACATAGATACATACATGCATACATTGTAGTACATTGTTACATTGAATTTCATTAAACTACAGTACACTACATGACATTGCAGTGCATTACATTACAGGCATACATGCATGCATACGTACATACATACATACATACATACATACATAACATTACATAACATTACATACCATTACATAACATAACATTACATTACATTACATTACATTACATAACATAACATAACATAACATAACATAACATTACATACATACATACATACATACATACATACGTACGTACGTACATACATACATACATACATACATACATACACACACACACATCGGCTAGAGAGTGTTGGGAGAAGGTTTGTACTGACAGGGGCTGGGCATCGCAAAACCGGATGTCGTTGTTGTAGGGTGCCTAATGCACCTCGACTGCGATAAAGTCGCTATAGTGAACTCTTTGAGAGGGGTTATATAAGGGATTATGTAGGAGACTACTACAGGGTTTACAAAGGGCTACTAGGATTTTATATCATAGCTCAAATAGCCACAGCAGGCCGTGCACACTGCCATGCGCGGGGTTGCGGCTGCACTGCTTCCTGCAGGAGACCAATAGTTACACGGACAGCTACATCTCAAACAATGGTGTCCCCTTCATGTGGTGATTTCCTTAAGCATCCTTAAACAAGGGACCCGAATATAGACCCTTAGTATAAGGACCCCAATAGGGACCCCCCCCATACCTGACCTGTCAACATCGAAGTCTTGTTCATCAACATCCCAGTTCTTCCCCAGCAACCCTGATCCCCCGGGAAGGACTGCGTAGGGTTTAGGGTTTAGGTTGTAGGATTTAGGACTACATGGGGCCCGTGAGCGGCCAAGTGGGTATATACCATGCGCATGGGGAGACCAAAGCTACGGATCCAAGTCTATATAAACCTTGAACTCAAAGTAGGGATCCCTACTTTAAAACAAGTGTCTCAATAACTACAAATACCATGGTCGAACTATAGTAGCGGGTACCGCGAAGAATCCTTAAAAGACATCGGTAATTAAACCGCGGAGAGTGTCCTAAACTCTAAATCCTAAACCCAAAACCCTAAATCCTAGGACCTAAACCCTTAGCCCTATACCTCCTCCCACTTAGCTTCCCACGTTGCTAGCTGCTTGCCGTTCTGCTCCAGGTTGACATGGATCTGAAAGAGGGTTGACTTGAGGGTTTGGGTCGGGTCCTATGGTCGTTCTTAGAGATTGGGGTTAAGGGTTGTATGAGCTACAATCAATATTTCCTTCTGTGTCAGTGGGCATGGGTCCTGATGGGTAAATATGTTGGGAACTATAATACACTACTAAACGGAGCCCTATGTCCACCCTTATTCTTTCCTCCTAATATTGTTAGTAGCTCATATAAAGCTTATACAGGATTGTTGGGCCCGTATCAGGGATTACTTGGAGAAATGCCGTGCTACGTGCAGAAGTGTCTTCGGCAACATTTTGGTGTTCCCAGAAATGGAGAGAGCCTCCAGACAGACCCTACTATACTACAATCCGTGGGGACTCTGCAAAAAGCAGCGCAGTAAACTTGAAAACCCCATCTAGGAATTAAACCCTAAACCCTAAACCCTAAAGCGCACCAACCTAGGCCTGCGGCTTCTAAGACAACACATACTGCCTCCCAGTTTCCTTGTACGTCCCTCGCGCGACAGATACCTCCATTTTTTTTAACTAAGAAGGGCCCTGAGCACTGTACCCGGCTTCTTCTGGGTTGCTGTTAAGGAACTTTAAATTAAGTTGCTATATTGGGGAAACCCAATTATTTACTATATATACCCATTATGGTAACCCCAAACCCTAAACCCTAAACCCATTATGGTAACTTAATTTAAGTTCCTTAACAGCAACCCAGTCTTGGGACAACAAGGCTACTCACTTCATGAACCGCCATCCGAACTTTGACCGATTGCATCAGTTGGCTTTGTATCATCCTTGGATGAATGTAATTCCTTCAAACATAACCCTATAGGGTTCAGGGTTTAGGGTATATGATCCTGTAGAATCCTCAAGGTAAGCCTTGTACCCTCTCCAAGTAAGGGGGATCTCTGGAAAAGCCCGAAACGTTATGTTGGTAATTCTTGGGGCTTATGTATTCCTCCGTGTCCCTGTACAGAAACCTAAATAACCCTATACAGCCCTACAATAATCAAGGCCCTTCAGGGAACCATTTGCCATGCCCCTCCTCCCCCCCTTTGACCCCCGAACCCTAAAACAAAAATCCCAAACCCTTAACGCTACACCCTAACTGCTAAAACCTAAATCCTAAATCCTAAACACTACCCCCTAGCTCCTACACCCCTAAACCCTAAACCCTAAACCCTTAAACCCTAAACCCTAAACCCTAAACCCTAAACCATTGGCCGCCCGCGCCAGGCGGCGGCCGGTACAACTGAACGCTACCGCTTCGAGATCTGCTCCTTGCCAGCAGATCGAGTCCACAGATCTCAGAATCCCTGCCAGNNCACTTGACCCCGGCGGGGGAAAAACGCGCTTCCCGCAACCTCGGCGGGGGAAAATTCCGCTCCCCTGTAACCCCGGCGGGGCACCCGGTCGAAAATCCCGCTCCCCGGTGACCCTGGCGGGGGATCTCCGAAGCCGGCGAATCCCGCTCCCCAACAGCGGGGGAAATCCCACCCGCTTCCGCGAAAATCCCGCTCTCCGGTGACCCTGGCGGGGGAATCCCGCTCCCTGGGCTTCGTCGTCCTTCTGCTTCCCGCAAGGAGAAAAACCCGCTTCCCGCAACCCCAGCGGGGGGGAAAATTCCGCTCCCCAGTAACCCCGGCGGGGGACCCGGTCGAACCAACGAGGGAAATTGTGCGAGCGGTGGGTCCCGCTCCCCAGCAGCGGGGGAAATCCTGCTGACTCACTGAAACCTGCTTCCTGCAAAAAATCCTGCTCTCTGGTGACCCTGGCGGGGGAATCCCGGCAGCGGGGGAAATCCCGGTGACTCGCTGAAACCCGCTTCCCGACCCGCGCAGGGCGTCTGGGCTTCATCCTGTGAAGGGACCCAGCAATCCACAGCTTCTGGCATTCGGTCGAAAATCCCGCTCCCCGCTGACCCCGGCAAGGGAATCCCGCTCATCCCCCGCTCCCCGGCAGCGGGGAAATCCCGGTGACTCGCTGACGGGGCATCTGGGCTTCCTCGTCCTTCTCTGTGAAGAGACCCAATGATCCACAGCTTCTTTGAAAGGCCCAGCGGCTGTTTCCCGGCGACCCGGCGGTTGAAAATCCGCGTCAGTGACCTGGCGGGGCGTTTGGGCTTCGTCGTCCTTCTCTGTGAAGGGACCCAGCGATCCACAGCTTCTTTGAAAGGAAAAACCTGCTTCCCGCCACCCGACGCGCGAAAAATCCGCTCCCGCACAATCCCGCTCCCCGGCGACCTGGCGAAGGGGGAATTTCCGGCAACGCCGGCGGGGGAAAATCCCGCTCCCCGGCGAAGGCCAGCAGTGGGGAAATTTGGGGGAAAAACCTGCTTCCCGCGAGCAAGGGAAAAACCCGCTTCCCGCAACCTTGGCGGGGGAAAATTCCGCTCCCAACCCCGGCGGGAAACCCGGTCGAAAATCCCGCTCCCCGTGACTTTGGAGGGGGAATCCCGTGAAGCACTGGGAAAAATCTTGCTGAATCACTGAAACGCACTTCCCGCAAAAATCCCGCTCTCCGGTGACCCCTGCTTGGCTACGGATCCGACTTTGAGCTTCTTCAATACGTGTTTGACCTGCATCTTTGGACGGATCTCGGCAGCAAGCGCAACGTGGCAAACGGGACGG